AAATAAGGATTCACAATTTATTTGTGACTAAATCATGGATGTCACAGAACTCATCGATTAGTTCACAATTAACTAATAAGAATAGTAATTTAAGAACGATGACAATTCATTAGTGGAATATAAGTTTACAATATATATATATATATATATATATATATATATATATATATATATATATCCATTGTAGAGCAGTTCGAAAAGTTTCCAATTTCCTAACTGTTCGCCCGCTACCCAACACCAATTTATTCTTTCTCTTTTGAATGACTACTTGGCTCTATCCCCCACCATTCCTTCTCTTTCTATTTCTTCCTGTTTATAACTCATGAATATAATAATTTCACTGGAATCACGAACCAATTTAAATCCTTAAATTATTGAAAACCTGGAAGCACTGAACGACCGTTTCATTCTATTATGGGACTCCATCATTAGGAACCGAATTCAGATCCATCGATTGCACGCGGGACCTCTAACCTTTATACTACTGAACCGACATCTATGATGTACAAGTCTAAAGTTAATCAATTCAAGATATTGGGGGAACATCTTCCATTATCTTCAGTGGGTACCTTTCTCATAACAGAAGTGGTTGAACTCCACTAGTCGTGACCTCTCAATAGAACTCAGGAAATTTTCTATTGAAGCTTGTGATCTGTGTGTACAGTAATAATAATAATAATAATGATAATAATAATAATAATAATAAAAATAATAATAATAATGATAATAATAACATTTAACCCTTTTCTATTGCCTTCATATGCTTAATCTCTTTCCTTTTTCTCCTTCTTACTATATGAGGTGTGAAGTCTGGCAATTTGAACAGGTAGACATAATCATGCTGGGTACTGTGTTGTTGTTTGTTGACTTAACATATAAATATGTATGCAGTTACTAGGTAAGTGGATTACTAGTTGTTTTTTTTCATTTTTCCAAGTTTTCGCCATTAATAACTTCGCCTTTTTAAGGAAGACAATCTGATCAACGTCTGTTTTGAATGGAGACTAGTCACTTCATTTTTACAATTGACATGTGCTTTTAATTTTATGGTATATATAAATCATTTTGTTTTATCTTGATATCTAAATCAGTAGTATGTCATGAATATATGCTTAATTGTTTATTAGTACATGTGTATGTGTGAAAAAACCAGTGCACCAACTGTGATAAGATAGATGAATTTCTACTTCACGGATAAAGGAAGAAAAATGATCATACAATAATCATCATCACTGATATAGGAAGTAAAGAAACCTACCGCAATGCTGTCAAATTATTTATTGAATTATGTGTATATTTTAGAGAAAAATATCATGTTTCATTTAAATTGTATTTATGCTATCTTAACGGTGTTGATGAGAATTTACAGTTCGTATAGGGGCACCAATGCATATATATATATATATATATATATATATATATATATATATATATATGCTTATTATTCACATATTTTTTGTACTGGTACCACTTGCCTCCTTTTATAGTTCTTCTCTTCGTCAACTTTCATATTCGAAATAGACAAACAAAAATTATAATTAAATAAATGAAATTACATTTTGACAGAGCACAGTAACTAATTAATAATAAGTGAATATATTAGGCAGTTTATTGTCTATGTTAAATACAATTATATCCAGTAAATGTTTGTAATATTGGGTGGTGTTTATCAGTATAATTTTGTACGTTGTATCTGTTATAGATTGGTTTCACTTGTGTTGTCATAAAATGTCAAGGAGGTCTATATGGCTTTTTTTCTGTTATAGGACCCATTTATAGCGTCAATACATGACACCACTGAGGCGTCGAATTTGGAATCTTCAAGTTTCACTGCAAAATGTTTAACCATTCGAAACACTAGGTCCGTGTTCAGTGGTATGGTTGCAACATTAATTAATTTAAGGTATGGAAAAGATGATCATATAATGTTGGTGGTCACAACTGTTTCACTCCCTAAATATCCAGACTCCAGTAGTCACTACTCCTCACTAGAACTCTGGGAGCATATTGAGGTAAACTACTTGTGAGCTGAGGTATTTTATTAATTAATTGATTAAAAATAGTGAGATTATCTGTGAATATTGAACGGATGAAGAGTTGTCCTGTCTAATGGTTGAGCTCATAAGCAAAAAAAAGATATCTTAATGATATGAATATATCGAGTTCTTTGGATAATAAAAATACATAAAATGAAGTTTTATGTTATAAGATTACTTAAGCTAGACAATCGGTGAACTATTGAAACTCATTGGAAAGTTGTTTTATCCTAATATACGATTGATAAACGGTACGCATTTACAATCTCATCCGATGATCGGAATCGAAGAGGTACTAGGTAATGTGACGAGCATATTATCTTTGGACCATCAAGTTGCGATCCAGCGATCCAGATTTATAATTTTAAGCATTAACAATTATCTCATTCATTTAGTTGACTCCTACCGATTATTGATTCTGAATAGAACTTTGTACATCTTCTTGAAGACATTAACTAATGATTTAATGAAAGTCAGTCCATGAAATAAATTTTATATTTAAACTTAACAAACTTCATAAATTTTTCTTTCTGATAATAAGTAATTTATTTAGAAAGAGTAGGTAGATTTATATTCTTAACTTTAAGGCACATTTTGGTATGTAAATTGTTTGTAACGGGGGTCAAGCCTATCCATATAATTGTTGGACTTCAATTCTTTTTCAACTAGCGATCAACTTTCAACTTTTATTTGCAGTTCGTTTATAATGCGGAATTGAACTGGAAATATATCTCATAAATTCTTTTTTTAATCTAAATCTATTTTGAGTTTGTATAATTGTTAGAATTTTTGCAGAAATTGTGACCATGATATCTCAAGGAATCTAGTTGGGGACATTTAGTTCCCATTGGGAGTGCTTAAACATTACAATCACTGGTATGGTGTATGGTAGTAAAGATTCATAATTTAAATAAATTCAAGGAAATGTCGGTATGACCAACCAATAACATTGGTGACAATTGTTTCAGTAATATTGTTTTGTATTATTAAAAACCAATAGCACTGACTGGTCACCGTACCATATCGCGAATTATCTAAAACTAGAAATGCATATCTTTGGATACTAAATCAGTGGTTACAATCGAAAAGCTTTCATGACCAGGCCTGAAGGTTTACTATTTGATCCCTAACAGTCATGAATGTACAATACTAAGAAGTCCCATATCAGAGCGAACTAGCTATTTGTTTCATCAATATAACACCTGGTCGGTTTCATGAACATTTTGAAGGCTACAAAAGTTAATGTTGTCAGAAGATTGAAGTCAGATCGTTAGTTGTTAAAAATCAGAAAGAATCGAGCAACTATTTTTCGTACTTTAACAGATAACATTAATGGGTACATAAAAACTTACTCACCATCCAACTTAGGACTATCACAGTTTATGGCTAACGCGATGACATCAGATCACTAAGTTGAAACGCAGTTATATAATGTTCTCAATTTTTGTTGGAAAGATTGATTATTATTTCCTGCTGTATAATAAATATTCCATTTACATGACACGTTTCTATTCTGTTATTCAACCACGTACTTGAAAATGATTAATAAGTCTCAATTTAATTAAACTGTACTTTCAAATTTTTCAAATAACTAATTTTAGACACTAAACTCTAACTAATCCGTGCGACTACATAAATCTTAGTCTTTATTAAATAAAATGTATGAATTAGAAACACATATTTAGTCTATTTGAAATAGTTTTCTACTTCAGACAGAAACATCATGTACATAGGCAGATTATCAATGAAGCAACTATAAATGTCGCGAGCATAGATTAATGCTTAAAATTAACTTCGTTCTCTTTATGGTAATTTTCCAAATTCACAAAAATTATTTCCATGATGGATAGTAAATATTTATGACCATCATTTAGTATACCTTCTAATTTATGTAATTTCATCAGCGTGGTTTGTTAAATAATGCTCCAGTAATCATTTCGTACATTTTTATACGTCCGTTGATTGGTTGAGAACATATTCATTGTTTTCTTCTCAACTAAACATATTGAATTTTTCAAAAATTCCTTTTTTTCACTTAATACTGTGAATCAAACGGTGGCTCAGCGGTTAGAGCACACGACTTCTAGTCAATAGGTTACGCGTTCGAACCTCGTTCTATCTATTTGGTTCGCTGTGTCCGTCTATTGCAAACCCTTAAGCAGAATATGGTTAGAAGCCATGTAGAAAAATAAGTACCTGGTAAATGGTTATTAGTTAAAAAAAAAAGAAAATTACCTTAAACTCTTCTATCACTGCAGTAACATTTTGAAGAAATTATGTCCATATTCTTTTAGTGGACAGCAGCAATTAATTACATCGAAGAAAATGAATTTTCTAGATTACAAAAGAAAATTTCTGCAACTAAGGCAGTGGGTTTAATTTGAACTACGTAGAGAATTCATCTATATCTAATAAATTATGTAGTTAATATTAATTTATCTAATATACCGATATTTCGGATCAAGTGTAATGATCATTGTGACTTAAACGTAATTTCATTGAAAATAAATTCACAGAATAAATTAGCTAAATATACACTGGTACACCACTACTTTACTTAGTACACAATGTCTTTGAATTGTCATTTACTGTGTGATCACGATTATTGTCGTCTTTTATTATAGGTCTTAGTTATGCTGTCTGGTGAATAGCCATAGCCACAGAAGTGTCACGTGACTCCTGATTAGAAATTACTACCCTGGATACATCCAGTCTACTACAATTTCATTGGTGGAATAAGATAAGATGCCATTGAAAAAGGCTATTCTGTCTAGCTGTCAATTGGCCAATCGTATTACTAAAAATATATTTAAGTTTGATTGGTCGATTCAAAGTAGTCTAATCAAACCCTGATTTTTGATTCGCTAACTAAAGTTGACATGCCATTCGAAGAAGCAAATCGTCACTACACGTGTTTTCGATTCGGCTGTTTCGCGTATATTGCTATAAGACACTCCTACCCTAATGGGTGATGATAAATTGGATCCACCTAAAGATTGTAATATTTCACAAGATTGCACTGGACAGCTGGGACCATTTTGCAGTAGTTTTGAAGATAATACTACCGAATCGGATTTATTACATACATTCGAATTACCGATATCACCCAGTCAAGATTTATTTGGTGAAACTACAACATCAAGTTCCAATAGATATTCTCCTCCTATTGGTCGAACAACGGTAACTACTCCATCCTGCTTTTGGAAAAACTGCGAATCTTCTGTTCATCAAGTTTGCGTTAATACAGATAGTGGATTTTCTAGTTGGACTGGAGGTGGTGATTCTAAAGCCAGATCCCCATCAAATTTGATTTCATCTTACTGTGCCTTACCTCACTCAATTTTTTCACCACTGATATCATCCGATCGTGAAAGTGTTTTTATGCAGAATCAATCTGATCAAGCTAATTCGCCTTGGAGGCTGACACATTTAAACGAATCAGACATAAGCTCTAGAAACTCTGTTACCAGCTCAGGTTCATGTCTAAATAATTTACCTTGTGCTAGTGAACTTAATGAAGAACTTTCAGATAGAATGTTCGTTACAAGTATAAGTGATATGATAAGAAATTCTCCAACTTGGTCTACTCCATGGACTTGTTCAAATAAGTATCCTCATACATACGAACCATGTAAACCAGTATCACAGAATGCTGTAGATATGATAGATTCATATCCAGAAACTATTCCTCTCTCTGATTTATCATCATTTTTCTCTCTTGGATTGAATTCAGAAGTTAAAAATGAATGCAATGATTCAAACAGTTTACAGTCTCCCGATGACATTAATGATAAAATTTATAAGACAGAAAATTTTAGTAATTTCTACTCAAAGGCATCAAATTCTGTTTGTACACATGAGAGGAATCTTTCTACTCATTTATTTCGCCCGATTCCTACTCACGAAGAAAGCAAACTTCATGGGGATTTGTTTAATTCTTCAACTTCATCTTCTTTGGTAAATACACATCCTAATCGACGCATTGCTGTGCATCCCATTAGAAACACTGATATAAATTCCAATGCTTCTATTTCACGGCAATCACAACATACAAACTGTCGTCCTAGAACTATATCTTATACTGCTTACTTAGACTCATCAATTAGGAAACCACAAATTAACAGGCCAGGTTCTGCACCATTACAACGTGAAAATTTATTTATTCCAGAAGAAGATTCCGATTCAAGAGAAAATAATGAGCGTTCAGAAGAAATGAAGGACTGTCACCTTGTGCCTAAACGCCGTATTAAGAAATCAACATCCAAAATGTCTACACGTAGATTTTCACAAAACTACCAGTCTAACTCGTGTGGTCATTACGATACCAACATAAACAAGAATAATTTTGAGGATGCAAGCATCCTTGAGAGTGCCGATTTTACAAACGTGGGACATCATAGTCAACATACGAATTGTATTTATAACAGGGCAACAAACGTAGCTGACCAACAACTATATCCAAGAATGAATTTAGATAGTAACATTTCGCATATATCTGCTGAGCGTTGCCTTACAAATTTACCATTATGTCCAGATTATCGATCAGTTCAATATGATGTAAGCCGTTCGAACGCACATGCAATAAGTTATTCACCGAATTATACTGGTAAGTTATATTCCTTTTAACTGTTCTGCCCTTTAAACAAGTTTTTATCCGTTTTCATCATTCAACGCATCAGTCCTAATTAAAGCTGGTGTTTATGATGCACGCTTTATCTACAAAGTATTTTTATGCCCCACTGATAAGTATCCCCACATGAATATAATATTTGTACTCATTACTTCAGTTTATGACAGAATTCAGTTTCCATCGAGTCAATTCTAACATTTCTTACAATTTTACAGTTGAAAACACTGTCTGCAAAACAGGACGACTTTGCTAAACATCGGTTCATTCCTTTCTACTTTATAGGTGTGAAATATGACCGTTAAGAGGGCGATATTTGTAGGTTATTAGCATTCGATTAGGGTGCCTTCGAACCATTACCCTTGCATACTGGGACCACTAAGTGAGCAATGCATAGGTCACGGGCACATTACTAGATAGAGATGGTAAATCGATTGATAAGGTATTAAATTTATCAACTCAGGTACTTGGGACGTGCAATACGTATTCCCAACCACCACATACTTTAATGGACACTGGTGTTTGATGCAAGACTACATCGAAAGAAAGCTAGGGGAGGCCAAATCAAATCGTGGCATTAATTCATGAATTTCTTGACAGTTGGACTAAGGCATGTAGTTAGACGCAGATTATCTGTTTCGAGTCTGCGCGACTACCGTAACCAATGGTTTAAGTCTGGGTAACGTGGCTCAGAATTGTTTGCAACGCCACGGGTGCGTTCACTTTTTGTCTTTCCTCAGTTCATGAATCCCGAAACCGTACACCTTATCTGCACCTACTCTTTTCTACTGTTGCTACTTCCACCTGTCTGGGATTTGTTTATATAATTTTATCTCTCCGCTAATATGGTGTGGTCACTTGGCCGACTCACGTGTCAGGTTCTCCGTTGCATATGATTGACTGACTGACATTTTGTCACTATTTAGAACATAGCCGTTTAATTATATTGTTATACAGAGGTTCAGTTTAAAGACCAATGGGAAAGCTGATTGATACACGAATTTTTTCTAACTTCTACTTTGTTTTATCGACAAACATTTTGTCTGTTTAAAACAATAGACAATACATTACTGTGATTAGTCCCTATAATTATTATCAATAACATTCCTCCTTGTATGAATCGTCTTCATCAATTGTCTACTACTAATACTACTAGTACTTTTAAAGATTGTGAATATTTGTTCTGATTTTTAAAAACAACTAAGTGAGACCCTCGTTTCGCGTAACATAGCATTCCCATAATCGCTATCTTTATTTTTGTAGTATAGTTTGAGTTTCATTTAACTGTGTTTCGGGGAAGGATTGTCAACAAAACTGTTTTGTGAATTCCTTATTCCTAAATATTCATAATATGATAATATGCTTTGATTTTATGGAAACCAATCATCTGCATTATGCATATTAAAGGTTAAAATCTAAGAATTTCATCCCTTATTAGTGGTGTACACAACTGTCGTAATATAAAATTCACGACTAGTAAAAAATTTCGTGTGAAACTGAAACAATAATCTAATTATATAAGAAACTTCGCAATTATCGGCAAATATCTATGATGTTATACTATCCGAAAGAAGAATGATGTTGAAAGACATGTTTATCTATCTATTTTTTCCTAAATAAATTCTTATCATTGAATAGTTGTGTAGTTAAGTAGTATCGGTAGTAGTGTGGAAAACTACCAAAACGTTTTCTATAACACTATTTCAAATTGTCGTTTCTTATTTCCGTAAGAAACTTATGTGAGAACAAACAGTTGTTTGTTCCATTGTAAATGGATTTGTAAAGTACTAGCCTGATTCTAGTCTGGTTTAAGTGTGTTAAAAAATCGAATTAATTAGTTGGTTGAAGTAAACACTTTTATTTTCGGGTAAGAAGTCGTTAATTTCTTCTTTTCATATAACTATAAGTTTAATATGGCGTAGATTGCAAAAATAACAGCGAAGATAATAAATTATCTTATTACTTTTGTATATCAAGACTGAGAATACATAAAATATCAGATAAGCAACGTAATTGTTTATGTATTCATCAGACAAAAAAGTATGCAAATAGTTTTTGTCACAAATTGGCCTCAAGTAAATATCCATTGAACAACCATCTCTTCTTAGTTTGAGGTTTCTCAAGACCTAAAGGTCCTGGATTCGATACCCGATACGATCGTTGAGTAATCATCAAATATCCCCCGTAGTTGAGTCCTGAGGGTCATCAAGTTTTCTGACAACCACAATGCATCTGTTTACTTACTTACTTGCGTCTGTTACTCCCAGTGGAGCATAGGCGGCCGACCAGAATGCATCTGCTTATTTAGTTGGATTTCAATGTTGAAAATTCCCCAGCTTCAATCTGTTCGCTACGATTCAGTGTCATTTATAAATTACCATATCAATTTCAACTAGGTTTGCTCAAAATATTTAAAATGATTGTTCGTTTTACAAATAAAAAACGATCTGAGGCGTAGAAATAAATATAAAATAATAAATCCTGAGACTGTTTCATTATCACTGCAGTTTTTATTTTATTCATGAAACTGATTTGTTAGGATACTATTGTGTTTCACATCTTTCAAAACTGAATTAGTTCCATTCATACTTAATATTTAAGTCTTATATAAATTTTTTAATCAAATAAATTACACAAACCCTTACCCAATAATTTTCTGTTTACTTTTATTCACTAATTATTTACGCACTCATACAGTAGACGACAAAAAATATCTATAGTGTGTCAATAAATACCATTGTATCCACGTTAAGTTTCGTGATGCATTGAAATTGTAATCAATTCATATGAAGGTTAGAAATACTAATTTGTTGGGATAATCGAGGTAATTTCGATAGGATAAAGTTTGTGAAAATTGACCACTTATTATCCTTGGATCTTAACATCGGTGTAAGAGTTAGCATGATACTCGGGTGTTGGTGACAAAATAAATGAGGTTCTGGTTGTTGTTTTTTATGGCCGATCAACAATAAATTCTGTGAATTATGGTTATTTCTTGTTGCCCATCGTGTTTGACTTCGTCTTCTTTTTTATGTGAACTGAAGGGTAAAACAATATTTATTTGTCATAAATGTGAGTATGACACATTATGTAATCAAAATTACATGTATTGTGTGTGTTATGTTTGGTATACATACCTAATGTTACTCGGCTAACTCATTGATTTAATTCTTACGGTGAATTGTCATATTTTCAAAAGATAGCGTGGTCGAAACTCTGGGGGGGGGGAGACGCCTATTGGAAATACTGCAATAAGGTTTCTTATTTTCGATTTGTTTTAACTGATTAATTACATGAGTGAATCGTGTAGTGAACTCATGGGCTTTTTCTGAAAACCTGATAATCTTTCGCAATGCTCAAAAATTCAAGCAGAAAATTCACGATGATTTGATATATTTTCTTTGTTGTCTCTATTGTAAGGAGAAGCGGTAGGTGTTCGCTCTAGAATTCGCACATCAAATCTGTCTTTTACACTAGAAAAAATATTATTGTGGCAGAGCCGGCTAAATGAAAATATACTAGCGCTAAACACTATTAAAAAGCGTGTTTATACTTATTTTATTAAATATTCACTATTTAGATGTATATGAGATTGATGTTTATTGCCTTATTTGAATATTTTGTGCCTTAAATTACTAAAAAGCTAAAAGTCAAACACATTCACTAGGCACATGGGTATGAGACACAATCTAAGTATGGAGGATAATCATGTTACCCAGATTCTCGGACCAAATCAGGTGGAGTGGGGTTCAAATCTGAGATTTGGTGGCGGAAAGTAGAACGCCATAACCATTGAACCACCATGAGTCATTAACTGTATATGGTATAGTGAATGTTATTGTGATCAAAGTTCTTTATTTTCTCAGAATTTATCTTACCATAATCTTATTTGTTTCAATACATTAAGTGAAATTAATCTAGTCTTTAGATTAATTAGTGTGTTCAGATTTTTGTTATTGTACCATTATTAATAAATGTGTAATACCAATGAGTTATATTTACCAACTGAGGATTGGTGATACTTTTTTGATCTCCCATACTTCAGTAGGTAGAGAAAAAGCAGAGTTTTGATGCATGAATTATTTGACATTAGATTGTTCAAGTCAGTTGTGTTCATGATTTCCACCGTTCTTAGATTTGTAACAGTAGCTAACCTAACTTATAAACTATTGAGTCACAGTTTAATTACTGACCCCAGATCTTATCCTAACTATTGAGTGAGTAATCTTTTTATTTTTATTTAATGATTTGGTCTAAACATGTGTATTTTTGCATTTAACACAAGTGGGAAGCAAAATACTTCCGATAAGATTATTCCAAAGTATGAAAAAGTTGTGAGATATTATTATTATTTTTATTTTTATTATTTTCAAGTTTCTCGTGATATATTAATAAAAAAGTAAGGAGTTTGTGAAGCATACTTAAATTCCTTCATTTGAAGAACCGTTAAAGTGTATCGAAGGCCGAAAATTGGCATCATTCAAGGTTGTTTTGTCAATCACAATTTGTACTGAGCCTGTCGGATACTTTAATGGTATTCTTGTAACTGTCAGGTTGTTGGATATGTCAAGAGTAATAGATGCAGTGTATGAAGCTATTGTTGTGTATTAAGTTTAAAGTGAATTTTATGCCAGATATATCCACTCTTTCTTGTTTGTTTTTTTCTATTAACGGTACGGTGAATCAGTAGTGGTTAATGTATTGGACTTTCAGTGACCGAATTGCAAGGTTAAACTCTGTCTTATGTAGTCTGACTTGAACAAACTGGGTAGTATCACTGGTCTTCACAATTAAGGTGTGGTTTGACACTATGTGTACGAATCCTGATGAGTTCACAAAAAAACTCTTTAAATCATAATTTGTTAGTCTATATCTATATGTGACTTATTAAATTACAAGTAGACTAATTATATTTCAACATTTTTGCCCTGTTCACTCATAATATCTGAATTTTATGCTTCATACTTCAATATTCATAA